GAATCGGTGTGAATTCTGAGTGTCACTGATAACCACAGTGGAACAGAGACGCTGGTTAGTCTGCAGGACCGCGGTAACACTACTCGCCTTTGGAACTACAGGGTTTCACTCCTGACCAGGGCATCTGAAAAAGAAGTGCGTATTTTTGCCAAAGTTAATATTCCCAATCAATGTCTGACTCTTCTTCAGTCCTGTGAAGATGATTCTGGATTTAGTGCTACTGGCAGTATCGTAATTAATCATTAATGACTGGGGTGGGAATCGTTTTGATGCTTACGCGACACGTGTCCACAAAGGGAGCACAGTAACTTAATGGATTAAACACAGTTGTTATTGAGTCTTTGTGTCAGCAGGGACTCTGTGTAGTCCAGGGCGACTGTGGCTCAGGTGGTAGAGCAGATCAGCTCCTGATTGGAAGGCTGGTGGTTTGACTCCTGGCTCCTGCAGTCTGCATACTAACCACAAATTGCCTTCCGATGCGTTCCTCGGAGTGTGACTGTTTATTAGTTGCACTTCAGTTTAGAAGTGGGTGTGACCGGGTGAATGAGGCATGTTGAGGCAGCGCTTTGAGCACTCCGGGAGAGTAGAAAAGCGCTGTATAAGAATCAGTCCATTTACCATTTAGTCATTGGAGATATAATTAGATTAAAAAAACTAAGGTTGCCGTGTAAATTCAAGCCACATTTTAAGTGAAGTAAAAAAAAAAAAGCAAACATTTCAATATTTGCAATTTATCAGTAACAAAAACCCACCAACCCATGTATTTGTGTTCCTTATTTTTAAAGTGAGAATAAATAATAATAAAGTGAGAATAGTATTTAACATTTGCTTTACCTCTGCTTTGGTTATAAAGTATTATTAGGATGAAAATAAGACTGACGGAGAAACTGGTGCAGCATTGTTCTTTAGATCACATTCAGGGCACTGGTTGAACACATGCCCACATATTAAAAGTGATGTTAACACAAAGCCATAACATTCTTTTCAGAAACGTCGGGACCAAATATAAATATGAATCGAATAAGATGGAAGTTAGTTCACAGTTATCCCTGTCTGCACGGTGAAAGCATATGATCACAACAACAACAACAAGAATCCTATTCAAGAGAGACATTTATTTCAATGTAGCAGAAATGACAAACAGTCTATTCAAAGCTAAATAACGTTTTGTAGCTAACAAGTTGCAAATTTTTAGTATTTTAAAGACAACGATTGCCTTTGATACAAAATGAAGATATTTTCTTATCAAGTTAAATATATATTTTAAAATATATGAATTATAATTAACACAGAGACGATAATTAAGTAGTTGTGGGTAATTTTGTATTTTGTGTGGAGACAATGGAAATATGATTTGTGAACAGCCAGGTTTACCTGAGTGAGTTCCTGAGATAGTCGTTGTGAATCTTTTCGTACTCACGCTGATTAATCAGTGTTTGGATCGTGCATGTTTCATTTTCACTGAGCATCCTGCCTGCTGGCTTTTCTGTGCACGGACCGTTGGGATCAGTAAAGACGCTGTTGATTGATTTCGCTCTTGACTGATCACACAACTACACTGCTGCACACACACACACACACACACACACACACACACACACACACACACACACACACACGTAAAGCTTCCAAGGTGCTTCTTTAGCATCTTTAAAATGTAATTTAAAATGTAAAATGTTGTAAAATGTAATGTCTTCTCTTGCTTACTGAGTTTTTAGGAGATCGGCAGACATCGTGACTAACAGTGACAAACAGGTTACCCCGTAAAACACGATCGAGAAACATTTTGGTAGCTAGGCTGTAACGTCTCCACGCTGGATCAATTTAAGATGAGCTTCATAACAGTCTGCACATGTGTACAGATTCCACCAGAGAAGCATCACAAACCCAGACACATTGAGGTGGTCATAAAAGAGCAAATGTAACACCAGTGACACTGAAAAAACAAACACTGATATACAAAGTGGCTTCTTTTAGCTTTTTAAAAGATAGAATATGTAACACAGGGATAATGTTTTTTTACGCTTGTATTATCTTCTACATTACATCATTACATCTGCCTTCAACAATCTTAAAATCCTTAGATTCTCCACATGTGTTTGATACAGTCTGTGTACATGATGCCTGTAAGTGGCACCTTTACTCTCATTCTAACCACCAACCAAATACAACAACAGGACTAAACTGTCACATAGTCTTAATGTGTTTTGACCACAAACAGCAGCACTGGGCAGCACTGTAACATAGCACTAGCTGCTTAGTTAGCTTATGTATTACTGTGATCGATATATCATGTTTGCTGGCTTACTGGAACGATACAAAGAGAATATACTGTGAGTATCGCCCAACTAAATCTATGCAAAGAAAACTTTAATGCTTGACACTGATGATGAACACAAGCAGGATTTCTTACTGAGTTATGACTGTTAAAGGGGAAGCTCCACTGTGATCCCAGGAAACTGATGAATTTATGTTGAGAAGTTTGGAAAAGAAACATTTTGAAAACCAATCCCAGTTCTACACTCTGGTTCATAAATGGCTTTACTGGAGGATTGTCTTTCTCTTTGCTTCTGTCCTCTATCACTTATTCTGCTCTATGTCCATGAAGATAAACGAGTAGAAGTTTATTCCTGCTCAGACTGACACCATCACAGTCAACATTTACAACAAGAAGAATCATCATGGCAAATGTATGGTGTGTGAAAATTCCAAGCACTCGGTTTTCCAATTATAGTACATCCTGCTTAACTGATGCTTATTAATTCCTTCAAACTCATTATAGCATGTAAAATAGAGCTCCCTCATGAGATGAATACTAATGTAAGTTTCAACAGTTCAGCCGCTGCCAGCCGTCTTTCAGCTCAGAGGTTTGCTTTACGTTCCTGCACCTAAACAGAATAAATCCCCTTTGATAAAGAGCATTTCTAAATATTTCAGTCACTGTAACAGACTCAGTGTATTTGCTGGTGACAGGTGTGTGTCCACTGTGCAGGGCTACACGGTGGCACGGTGGTTAGCACTGTTGCCGCACAGCAAGAAGGTCCTGAGTTCAATTCCACCATCAGGCCGGGGTCTTTCTGTGTGGAGTTTGCATGTTCTCCCCGTGTTTGCGTGGGTTCTCTCCGGGTACTCCGGCTTCCTCCCACCGTCCAAAGACATGCAGCTTGTGGGGATAGGTTAATTGGATAACCCAAATTGTCACTAGGTGTGAATGTGAGTGTGAATGGTTGTCTGTCCCTGTGTGTTGGCCCTGTGACAGACTGGCAATCTGTCCAGGGTGGACCCTGCCTCTCGCCCTACAACAGCTGGGATAGGCTCCAGCGCCCCCGCGACCCTGAAAAGGATAAGCGGAAGCGAATGGATGGATGGATGGAGGTGTGTGTGCAGTGCTTGTACAGCGATGTGTGCGGATTATGTCCAGACTCGCTGAGAGCTCTGCAGTCAAGTGCTTGTAGTTGGAGTAAATAAAGCATAGAGTCGGGGTTCCTTCTGACTGACACTAAGCCAGCGGGGTCAGGCCGTAGGGCTACCCCAAACAAAAAACCTCAACACTTCTTTTACCATTGCTCTTCACTGCTCGCCAAAGGCTTGATTGATTGATTCACTGGCCAATCAGAGTTCATTGATCACAGAAACCCTTACCCCCAGCTCTCTAGGCCTTCTCTTAGTCCATTCATCTGCTGCCTGTCAGACGTATTCACTCGAGGACTGTAGCTGTGAGTGCTCACACTTTTACAATAACCTCCTCTGGCTTTCTGAAGAAAGTCCTTTACAGAGTTTCAAATGGAGGGCAATAAGGTTTTTATTTTAACGTCTGGTCTCGATCAGATGGCTTTTGCAGTAATGATGGATTTTTCCTGGTGTAAAACCCAGTGCTGGTTTTCTAACACTGGAATATTTATTTTCCAGTGTTAGAAAACCAGCACTGCTCAGTGTCAGCCATTGTTAATCTTCAAAACTGACTAGGTTACTTTTAAACATATAACACTGTCAAAAGTGTTAATTTAACACTCAACAGTGTTGTATTTAACACTCAGAGGTGTGGACCCATATAGACACTCTCCAGTGTTAATTTAACACTGGAGATTTTGCTGTGCACATCTGACTTGGTAACAGAGAGATCATCAGTCACATGACTTCCTATTCTGCTTGTGCCAAAAGATAATTCTTCACAACTCTGTGTTAAATTGGTGAGATCTGCAACTCTGTGGCAGGTTGCTTTCCATAGCATCAGTCAGACGTAGGTTGTAAATGTGACTCACAGATAGTTGGCAGGCATAGTTTCTAAGAGCCATTGAGGCCTTCAGCCCCTCCCACCTTCTCTTAACCTGGTCAGAGAGGAGGAAGCAGGTGGAAATGGTCTGTCTAAGGAGAGGAGGCCGTAAGGCAATGAACTGAACTGATGACTCATTTCTAAGTATTTTTATCAAGTCTCAATTACATCAGTTTGGACTTTAATAGTGGAACAGTTTCTGCCTCTGTGCTGCTTTTAACATGAGCGGTTATCGAGTAGTTTCATCAGAGCTAAAGTTACTGCTCAGAGGGTCACGCCTGAACCAACAAACATGGTTCCCTTTAAAACATGCTACATTCAGAAACGTGGTAGAAAGCACTTGTTTATGATGGTCAGAAGCTCAACAAGAGCTCGGTCTCTCACAGAGACATCTTTGAGTTGACTGAAAAGGTAAAGTGTGCGAGCGTAGATATTTGGTATGTTTGTGTCCTGGGACTTGGATGTACCCGATATGTGGAATGATTCAGAAGTAGCTGCTATATTGTGCCAAAAGTAGAAACCGCAGGGCACAGTGTTATCTAATTGAGATGGCGTTTAACCTTTAATGACATGAAAGTCTTTTTGATTGTTGAATCTTTGTTTCTCGTATGGTAAAATTAGCCACTTTTAAAAAGCCATTCATTTATTTTCTATGTATTTATGTGAGCTAAACAGAAGTCTCATATTATTGATGACTGTTACTGATTGTATGCCTCTTTGTTTGCAGGGGGGATATTTGAGTCCATTGAAAGTGGCCCATCAGGTGCGGAGGAACTCGCCTTTAAGTTTGCTTTAAACACAATCAACAGAAACAGAACTCTGCTTCCAAACACCACACTCACCTATGACATCCAAAGGATAAACATCTATGACAGTTTCGAGGCCTCCAGGAAAGGTATTTGCTTGCTTGTGATTGTGTGTGCATTCATATAAATATATATGTAGTCACTGTTTCAGGCCCCTGAGCTGAGCTGCACTCGTTTAGGTTGTGGCAGTTATAATCAGGCGAGGGAGAAATGGCTGAGCACTACAAATGTAAACAGAGATAATTGATTGGTTCCAGGTAATGACTCAGCGGCAGTAATTCAAAGACCTGCTTGGCCCCCAGAGACAGCCAATAAAGTGCTATAATCTATCAGTTTTCTGTGTGCATCAGGCTGACATTTCAAGTCCCTTATCAATTATGGGCCATTATATCCTGTCTTAGTGATTTACTCAAGTCTCTTTTATTAAATAAGGTAATCAGAGTGCACAGCAAATACAAGGATATGTGTTGTTGGTAAGTCATCAAACTGAAGATGCACCTGTAGACCCATGATGGGAGTATATTTAATAGATTTAGACTTGTTGTCAATAGACAAAACTACACATGAGGACAAAATTATTATCTCCTCTTTGAGCCACAAAACACTGCTGTGAAATTATGTGCTTTAACTCTGTAATGCCTAAAGCTTGTAAAAACCAGTTAAATGGGTTATCTTCCAGTTTACATCCAGTATGAAAACGTTAGCATGGTTTCGATCTGTCTGAGAAAGCATGACGCCAAAAACAAAAGAAATCCGTTTCGACTGGTTAGAGTTGTTGATGCTCATGAAGCAAAGTTACCAAAGTGTTTCCAAGTATCAAAAACTGGAGTGCAGACATCAAGAAAATGAAAGAGTCAGTGCAGGATAATCCTGTTAGAGGAAGCCAACGATGTCAACGACTCTGTAACAAAATCTAGAGAGAGAGATGTCAAAAGACCCCATGACAACTGATGATACTTGGAAATGACTTCGTCACGTTAAAAATTGTTGACTCAAAGAAGAAGAGACCACTTCAAGCTGGACTGCAGTACGCTAAGGTAACCTGGAGAACGATTATGGATACTGGGCATGCTTCCTTTGGTCAGATGAGACAAAACTACAGCTCTTTGGCCACAGCGCTGCTGCGTATTTACCAAGAAAGAAGGAAGAGGCGTATAACCCAAAGTGTAGGGATGCTTCAGTGAATCTGCAACTGGGAATTTCGTAATTCAATACTGGGTCTGGTTTGTTGTTTTGTCTTCCCACACTTTAATGATCCAAAACATATTTTACTCCAACCTCTAGAAGACCAAAATGAATGATATTGACTGACCTGCACGAAGCCCCGATATGAGTCCTATTGAAAATCTGTCGGATGAATTGAAGACCAAGGTCCATGTCAGAAGACCATTAGGAGGAGTTTGAGAGGTTTGCCAAAGAAGATGAGGCTGGGACTGCACTTACTGGAAACTACAATCCTGTAAAAACGTATCCAGTAAAAATCATGCACAGTTGCATCAGGGTGACTAATAATGTTGATCTTGGTAGGTTTTAGCTTTTGTGAAATAATATGTTACTGTATGCAAAGCAGAACGATCAAAGCACACAACATAAAACTAAACCTTTGAAAAATGACATTTTCATAAGAATGAATAATGATGAATTGTAAATAAATAATTCTGTCCTCATCTGTAATGTATGCAAAGCTGACCTGTGTAATGGTTATCTACATCTATCATGGAGCAGTGGTCTGATGCAGAACACAGATTAATGTTGACGTATTGCATCCGAGGAGCAGCGGGCTAACCAATTTAAATGCTTTGTCTCCCTAGCCTGTGACCAGCTTTCTCTTGGGGTAGCAGCGATTTTCGGTCCCTCTCACAGTTCCTCTGCTAATGCTGTCCAGTCTATTTGTAATGCCCTTGGGGTCCCACACATCCAGACCAAATGGAAGCATCAGGTGTCAGACAACAGAGATGTCTTCTACGTGAGCCTTTATCCAGACTTCTCCTCCCTCAGCCGGGCTATCCTGGACTTGGTCCACTTCTTCAAATGGAAGACGGTGACGGTGGTTTATGATGACAGCACTGGTAAGGCCGCATACACAGTTCTTGTACTGAAAGTTCTTGTCATATATACATTTAAAAAACTTTGAGAGTTTATAAATGTTTTAATAGCATTTCATGCTAAAATCTTTTCACTTGAAAAGATTCCTTCCCAGTATTGAATGTTCAGTTTGTGTTTGGGAAGAGGAAAATAGTAGAGTGGTCTACCGTGAAGGTATGGACATGACTTTTATTTTTGTTGGACAAAAGAACAAAAGCAGGATGGTTAAGTTCAAACTGCATCCAGGAGAGAAGCATCATACTGCTAACAGAAATCCATCTGCACAGATAGCATGCTAAGACAAAGCATGCTATCTGTGCAAAGAGCATGCTAACACAAAGCTAGGCCCTAATCTGCAGCAGGTTACGAACGATGAGCTACGTGTTCATGCAGGTAGAAGAATTATTGTGGAAATGACTTTAAGTGTTTTTGGATTAACTTTGAACTTTGCTTTATGTATATACGTAAAAACTAAAAGAGAGATCCCGTATATGTCCTCATTCGTATTGAGATTTGTCTTAATCTAGGTGACTGTGGCCTTTAACCTGTTAACTAATAATTATGGGACAGTTTCTTTCAGATCAGTTTAAAAGTATTGAAACAAATAGATTTAAAAATACTTCCCTCATTGAGTAATTAAGTAACATACTGCAAACTAAGACATAAAGTGTAATACATTACAAACTGCTGAAGTTTTGGAAAATAGAGGGTTAAACTTTTTTCAGTCTGACCTTTCACACACACATTTTTCACTACAAACTACAAACAATCATATATTCGTTTATCTTTCAGTGTACTCTAAAAAACAAAAGGTAAATCAAAACTACAGCAGTGCTACAGAATCCAAGAACTCTCTGTGTCACTTGCTTTTACTGAGGTTTTGGCTTGTTGAGTTCATAATCTGTGAGGAAGTAGCTTTTCTCCTTATGCGGTGAATGAAACCTTGTTCAGACCTTACGATGAGTCCAGTCTAGGTCACCAGATGACAAATAAGCCAGCAGGCTGGGTACATGGACCATATGCCAGAGGTCAGGGTAAGTGCCAGCATGGAGACAGGCTGCCAGGCCTCCCAGAGTTCCATCCAACAGACAGGCTGCAACTGAACTGGCCTGGATCGAAGAACTGCAGTGCATGTGTTCAGCTAGTGCATGCTTTGTGGAACAAACCAGTAGGCACACGTGATCAGGGAAATCTGCAAATAGCAGATTTTATCAGTGGTTTGCTGTCCTTACGTTCTGTTGTGAATAGTCAGGACTAGAGATAAGCAGTGGAAAAGAGGTTTTAAGTCAGCCATAGACACGTGAGATTTGTAGTGTTAGTGACGGTGCGTACACACCGAACGCGATAGACGCGACCAGAGCGTCAGGTTTACATGAAGTCAATGGAGGAGCGCGATGAAGCGCGACTGGGGGTCCCGCGAAAATCCAGAAGCAGATTTGCGTCGCGAAAACGTGTTAGTCACACTTGAAGCGCGAATAGAAATACGCGCGGCAGTTTGTGTGGTGCATTCACGCATATCGCATCTACAGCTAGAGGTGGAAAAATATGAACTCAAGCTTCAAGTCGCGCGGCGACAACCAATCAGGAGCCTGGTCAAAGGGGCAGGTCCAGCCAAAGCTCCTTCTCTTCCACTTTAAGCTGGGTCTTTTTTATTCCTGTCTCCCTGTAAAAAGTTATATTTTATATATTTATGTTTAATGTTTTTCTGTTTGAGAATTTTAATATTATTTCAAATAAATGTTGGTAATGACTAATGTCTCAGTTCTACTACACAGCAAATATTGGCACACAACTTGACATGTAGAATTTATTTCATATTATATCATTTCCTGTTTCATATGTTAGGCTGCCCCCTCTCTATGCCTTCTCCAATTTTGGTGATTAAACACAGCTGGACGCATCTTTAGCTCAGTTGGATGAGCATGTAGTCACATATCGTATGGCTGAGAGCGGGTTTGACTGCGAACGCTGTTAGCTGGCGTTAGCTGAGGTCAGTTCGCAGACTGCAGACCGTTTCTAAATACTCAAGTACACGAGTCTGTACTCACGTTTTCACTAGCCAGGACTTATAAGTTCACACGGGGGTCTGGACTTACCGACTTCCCCAGCTCGATCGCTCTACAACATCATAGCTCCGGGGTTTTACTGCCATCCCCTCTTAATTTAACGGTGATTGATATCTGCAATGGAAACTACACATGACATAGAAATTACATATGATGTAGTAGATCTCTTCAAGAAAAAAAAGATCATTTAAAAGCGTATCTTAAGGACTTTGACTAAATTCTGTTTCATAATGTCTCATAAGCTTCATATAGTTAAGCACAATCACTACATGACAGAAACACAAGCTTCATCTCTCTTAATAAACATAGTCCACATGTATGCCTGAGAAAAAACAAACAGGTGAGACGTTAGAATGCTTTTATTTTAGCAAACACTCAAACCTACAACAGACAGCTGCTGGTGTTTGGAAGAGAACGGAACAATATTTAAAATATAATCTCATCATTTTTGGAGCAGCCTTCAAGTATTTTGTTTGTTTGTGTGTGTGTGTGTGTGTGTGTGTGTGTGTGTGTGTGTGTGTGTGTGTGT